GTTTCTTTTTTATTTAAATAACATGGACAGTTTCATTCGAGCTTGGTAAAATTTTGCATATTTCACTTTATGCCAAATAAGAGGAAAGCCAGGTAGTTATCTGAGATTTTGAGAAAAACTACTCCACTCCCTTAAATGAAGTTTCTTCACTCCGCATAAAGCCAGGGCAATGCTGCATACTTCAGCTAGTATTCAATATTAATCAAACTTGTTTAGGATTTGGATGTGAAAGAAATATTGGATAAACAATCCATAAATTCTAATATTTTTGCATTAATATAACATTAAAATTATTGTATATTATATAGTATAACTAGTTGTACATTAATATAAAACAGTATAACTACTTGTATATCAAAGCTAATGTTCAGTGGCAAAAAATTTATATATTAGATAAAAGTGTCTTCTAGCCATTATGGTATAAAATTAAAAAACTTTGAAATAAAGGTATCAATTTGTTTCATTGACAAAACAAAAAACTTTTACTATTAGAAATAAACCCCTGCAATTTCTGTTGCAAATAGATACAACATAGTACGATTTTAATAATATTCACAGAAACCATAGCCAAGCAGAGTTATGAACTGATTTTCAGTCATACAATCTACAACTAACTGTATAAGACCTACAACTAACTGTATAAGGTTGTTGAACAAATCTACAACTAACTGTATAAGACCTATGATTTTGGTTTAAACAATAGTAACTATTTGAGCTTTTATCTTAATTTAGTCAGTGCAATTATAACCAAAGAGATAAGTTTAGATGTACCAATAATAGTTACTATGTTTATTGCAATAAAAATTATAATTTTGAATTTAAGTCTAATTTTTTTTAAATTACTGCTTCATAAACAAATGTTTCATAATCAAAGCATTAGCACTTATATTAAAATATGTGAAAACTTAATTCACTATCAGAAATTACAATCACAATAAATTCTATATATGTCTAAAATTGAACATATGTTTTGTAGGATGGAGATGACGAAGATAAAAAGTAACAAAATTTTTCATTACAATTGCTAACATTGTAACGGATATCTTTGAAATAATATGATAGCCTGACCACTAACATAATTTATTCTTTTCATTTACAGTTGTGACTAATCCTCCTGAATTGCATTATATGGAAATCAGGTGGAGGAATTCAATATGACTAAGAGAATAATTACACCTTTTATCGGACAAAGCTTTAGGCACCTTATAGGTGCAGCATGAGTTTACTCAGCTATCTCCCAACTTTCTTGAGGCATAATACCAAATTATCCTTCTTCCTCTACCAGCATCTTCTCAATGAGGATTTTTAGCTCAGCAGTTTTTAAATGTTGTTATGCTGCAAAGACACTACACATTTACAAATATCCATACCTTCTCCAGGATACTAACCTGGGTTCTACAATATAGCAGGCAATAAATAATTTGAGCTGGGTAGGAGATGAACAGGGGTAGGTCCTCTAAGCCTGCTGCTGAAAAATTATCACTAGCTGTTTTGATATCAAATCATAACTGGTACTGAAACACAATGTTTTGCTTATAACACAGGAAAAATGAAAGAAGTCCAATGATTAAAAAAAAAAAAAAAAAAAAAAAAAAAAAAAAAAAAAAAAAAAAAAAAAAGCCTTCTCACAAATATTCATTTCATAAACCTCAAGTGTAATGATTAACCACCTTTGATTGAAGCAGTTTTGATTGGCAAGCAGTAATTTATTACCTTTGATTGGCAAGCAGTAATTTACACCTTTGATTGGCAAGCAGTAATTTACAAATAATTTGTACTCCAAAAATAGTGTTGTGCTTTTATACTGAAGTGAATTAAACACAATCAAATCGATGGGATTCTTACACTGAAGGGAATTCAGTTAGAAAGATGTAACATGGCTATGTTTATTAGTTGTTTTTATGTTGATAATACAGCAAAATTTGCATGAAAAATGTTAAAGGTGCTACTTTAGCTGTGTTTCTAATTACTATGATATTCTGAAGAGTAAATTTCATGTTCAACCAAGAAGAAATAGTTCAACTTTGAAGAGAATTCAGGATATTATACGATACCATAAAACAACTGATCAACTATTTTTGCGCATGATAACATTTTGCACAACAGGCATCAGTATGTAATTTATTGCATAATAATAAACTGCTCTTAATCAACCTTCCTTCTCATCAATTTCTATAATAGTAACATGTTTTCTTCTGCTCTATTAATTTATATATTCAGTTTTCCCATTATATTTCTGAAATGATGCTTTTTCAACTGAAACCTTTCCCTAAAGGACAACATCACAGAAATTCAAAAAACTGCTATGAGGGAACTAAAAAGTATTCTAGTAGCTTCACTTTATGAAGGCATTTCAAAGCTCTACACATATATGGTATTAAAAGAAATAGCTGACATTAGCAAAAAATTTAAAGGTTAGACAGAATACATATAAATGCATATTAATATTTTGTTCAGCACTGTTTTGTTACAGAGACTGGATTCAGAAATGCATGTATGGATGTGCTCGTGTATGCATGTATATCTGTATGTACGAACATACCTTTGTGTGTGTGTATTTATATTTCTGGTTTAGTAGTTTCAACAGTAAGTATTGCTAAGGTTGATAAACAATTCCAAATCAAAAGTCCGATATTTTTAGCTGGCTTCTTCAGAACAATTTTCCATTTTTGCATTATTTGTATTGTTTACAGTGAATTGAAAAATTAATCTCCAGGAAAAAATTGAATTCATTCGTGAACATTTTCGTGTAGTTATTTTTCATAACTTTCGACGCAGATTATCAAGAGAAGAGTCCTTCTATGAACTTAATTCTTTATACAGTGATAAATAGCACCATCCTACAAGCACTGTAAAAATCTGTGTATTACGAATTGAATTGTGGTCAACATTTGCTCCAAGATGAATTTTTGGAGGTTGTTGTAAAATTGGTCCAAAATTGGTTGTTGTGTCAGAAAATATCAATGCTATGTGTGAACTGATAAAGCAAGATCATCATGTGACATACTGTGAGACTGAGGCATCTTTGGTCATTAGTATGACAAGCATCACTAAGATATTATATGAACACTTGACAATAAGAAAGATTTGTTTACGTTGGATGCCACATAATCTGACAAACACTCAAAAGAAGGGTTGTGTCGACTGGTAAGAGAAAATGTTGAAAAAATACATTCAAGGTGCATCAAAGACTGTATATAACATCTACACAGATGATGAATCATGGAATCTGTGCATATGAGCCTGAAACAAAACATCAGTCAACTGTATGGTTCTTCCAAGATGAGCCAAATCGAACAAAAGATGTTCGCGGAAAAAGCACATAGACAGTTGCCTGTTTCTTCGGCATTACTGGCCAGTGGCATTAGAGCAAAACAGGATGGTCAATTTCTGAAAGGTGCACGACCATTTGCTTGCCAGAAATCACTGGAGAAATTTGAAAAAGCAGAAGAAGAGGCGAATCATTCTTCATCATGACAATGCAAGCTATCACACATCAACTCAAACAAAGGAAATTTTGATGAGCCAAAACATCGAATTGATGGGTTTGCAAATTTGGCACCCAATGACCTTTTTTTTCCCTCACATATCAAAAATAAATTATGCAGTCAACGATTTGCGACATCCGAAGAAGAGGTTGATGCATTCAAAATGCATGTTCTGGAGTTACCACAATCGAAGTGGAAAAAGTACTTCAAAAATTGGTTCAAAGGCAAGCAAAAGTGTATTGATTTTCATGGAGAATGTTTTGAAAAAGAACAAAACCAGTTTCGATCATACATATTTGTTTTTTCTTTAGGACAGAAATATAAATACAGTCAAAAGTCGTTAATTCGGACCTCAAAGCTAAAAACTTTCTGCGCATGCACCGCTTAGACACATGCGCATAGGCGTTTACGCTTGCGCGTAAGACCTTTCACGACTGCGCACATGCGTGTGCGCAAAAGCAGAATACATTTTCGCGTGCGTGTTTTACGCATAACAGACGGTATAAGCTAAAATTACCTAATTATCTATTTCAGTTAATGTTGATGATTGCGTTGTACCTTAATCTTCGAATTGGATCCGGCTTATTATTTATTCAGACTGTAAGAGCAATTTTATAAAAGTAAACTTGAACTTTCGATTATGTCAAATAGAATTTCCGATTCTGGAGCTCCCAAAGGATCGTACAAAACGAAAGTATGTTTCGATGTCTATCAAACAAAAAGTGGAATTGCTGCAAAAAATGGATAAAGTCATGAAGAATGTGACAGAGAGGTTAGTGAAAACGAAAAAATTTCGATTGACAAGTTAGTTGGTATTCTTGGCACAGCAACTGCGAGACTTGAACAGAACTTTGTAACTGAACAAGAAATTATTTCTGATTATAGAATTAAAGCGAAAGTATTATCACATAAAACGAAGCAACTTAAACAACTTACATTGAAAGAAATGTTTAATAAAGTAAATAAATAAATATTAAGTTTTTTTTTTTTTTGTAAATTTTGATATTCTTTAGATCATAATTGTTCTTTATTTCATAAATTACGGTTTCATATTTTTAATTTTAGAATTTCTGCATGCCATCTTACGAGATTTAAACTGATGATCTATAATCCGGAAAAATCGATAATCCGGAATCGCCGAAGTCCCGACGAGTACGAATTAACGACTTTTGACTGTAGCAACCCTCATATAAACATATAAACACACATGCATACACATGTGCATACATTCATTTCTGAATCCAGCCCTGACTATAGACGAGTACTTTTGCTTCAAAACTTGATTTTTCAGAAATACTGCATTAAATCTCTAAGCTGGTTATACTACAGCAGTTACATTGAATATAAAATACATAAACAGACATAAATTTAATAGCTAAAACTATACTTATTCATTATTGATTAAAAATTTTAAAAAAATAGATAGATATAACTATTTTTATATTGTCCTGTTAAACAACTACCTGATAGCATTTCTGTACAACAGAAAAGTAAAGAATGATTTTCATTTACCTGCTCTCGTTAATTCCATAATTTAGGCAAGTAGATCCCACACATTCACAGCAGCCATCATGAAACCAACGGTAATTTGATGCTCCCATAGAAGCACATGAGCTTTTACATTTATTCCAGGACATGCATTGAGACATGTATGCAACAGTGCAATTCATAGATATAAATTCCTCAGATATTTCACTGCCTTTGGCTATAAAGAATTGAATAATATACACATAATGTTCCAATTAATCTTTTTTTTAACTTAAATATTTATAAATAAAAAAAATAACTGGTTACAAAATAATGTTCATGATTATTTTCAAACATTATTTAAGACAAAAATTGACAGATATATGTTTTAAAAAATTCAGCCTTTTTTTTTTTTAAATTTTTATTTTTATTTATGTATTTATGTCTATCATAATGAACACAATTATCTATTCATTAAAAGTGTCAACAAAAGATGATTTTACAAGGTGATTCATTCCAAAATTTTCAAAGAATGTGGTTTAAAATTATAACAAATATAACAAAAGGCATATAACAATAACATAAAGAATCAGTTCAAGTTTTATACATACTAGACAGATGGTTGATACGTGCTCATTTGGTGACCTGGGAGACAACATATCTGAATTCAAATTCCTACCACATAAATCCCAACATTATCACAATTGATAACAGCAATTTCAGAGAAATTTCTTTATTCACAGTTGTACTAAATCATGTGGGGCATAAACACACAGTCCTTAATGTTAGTAATTATATGAGACAGCAGATTAAGTTTTGGAGGCTATGGAAGAATAATAGAATATGCTTTACAGATGCCTATGGTATCTGCAACTTATATCACTCAATGTGTTGACTTACAACTCCTCGCACATTGAGTGCACACACATTGAGTCCTTACACATTGAGTGACTCAGTCACTCAATGTTACAGTGAATATAAATGCATGCAACACATTGAGACTTCAACTGCCAGTCCAGGCCAGCCTGGGACTGGCAGTTGAGACTTGAAATTTCATTTTGCCTCATACAGGCAATCAGTCTCCTTGGGCTTGTTCTAAAAGGCATAGTTTATATTGCATTCATGATGCTTGACATTTTGCATAAAAGCTTGATTGCATTGTCACAACCAACTTAAAGAACTCTAAAATGCAATAAATTTTATATTCCTCAGCAAATGCTAAATACATGTTACACTGCCATCCTAATGGTTAAATCTACAATTATGTGACAGTGCCTATTACAAGTGCAAACTTGGAGAGTATTTTTATATATTGATACAAAACTGTTACTAACATTAACTTATAAAACCCATAAAACTTATAAAACTATTAAAACTTATATAACCTCGGAGGGAATAATTCACCTGATATTATATGCAAATACATTACTGTTATTTTTATTGCAAAACTCCTATTATATTCACAATGCATAAATTATAATGGAATTCTTAAATTTTTAAATAAGAACATATTTAACAATACCTTAATCATGTTATGTAAAAAGATTATTCAAATAAATCAATATTTCAAAGAATGCTAACATTTTAACATAGTTAAGTTTTAGATCTCTAAAAAAACTAAAGGAAAAAATGGCTAAAATAACAGGAAAAAAAGTAAAGTTAACTTTCAAAGTCTATATAAATATTAACACAACAGACAAGTTACTTTTTATTTCTTAAGACTAATAGATTATTATTATATTATGTTATATCAATGCAATTATTACTATATTATGTTATATCAATGCAAGAAAAAGGAAAAACGTGCAATGCTTTTGCTGGGATTTGAACTCCAGACCTCCTGATTAAGTGATAGATGTGCTTCTAGTTACTCAAAAAGTGGAAAGGAGGGAGAAAGTACATTATAATATAAAATTAAGAAGAAGGCAGAAGCATTATGTTAAATGCAAGAAGGGATAATAAAAACTGATCTCTCAGCACTCCATAACCACTTGCGCTAAAAAGACGTGCGACGCACGTCGAGATGATTTTGTCTCAAACCGCGCGCAAAAATGAAAATAACGTGGTGCACACGTCACCTAACAACAAGATTGTTATTTCTCGAGTTACAGCTCTGGATTGCACTTGCACACCACGGAGCAGTGTAAATGAGACACTTTACCGCTTGTTATATTGTAGCGCACGGCTCCGCAACTGTGAAGTTTAGTCGTAGCGCAAGTGGTTAAAAGACTAACTAAACACAAAACCAGATATTGCATAATTAAGATACTTGATAAAGAAACAAAGCATTATGAAGCATCTAATATGATACTAATTCTCTTTGAGACATCAAAACACTTGTTTTCTGCAAGATATAGATAATATAAAATTTATAAATAATTTATGTTAACCATTTATCTACTTCAAAAATTCAAACTTCATGGTTAGATAGGGAATTTACTATTCTAAGACATTTGACTTCAAGTGAATTACTACTAGGGAATTTTATCCGACCTTCAAGTGGTTTACTACCTTAGAGATTTCAAGAATATCCACAATTTTTTTATTATTCCACAAGCTATTATTTAATAACCCAGAACAGTAACAAAGCATATTACAATGCTATAAGACTCTCCAAGAGAAGAATACAATTATCATAATGCACAATATAGATCAACAGAGTTTTAAGACTAGCCAAACTTAAAAGAATTTAAAGACCTTTTATCAGTGTGTGATCAAGTTTATTACTACTTATATAGATTCTTTCTAATGCCATATATATCTTAGCATGTTCACAGCAATTCCAGATATTTTTATAGAAGTTTTTTCAGAGTCAATTGTTAAGTTGATTCCCTGGTTGTCTCTAAATAATAAGTGCATGTTCTTCAACTAATAAGTAAGACTTTACTTAAATGAAAAGAATGTAGTGTCTAGGTTTACAAGTAAAGCTGCACTATGTAGAGATTCTGGCTTCAGTGTTTAAGAACAGTAACATTTTTCTTTTCAACAAACTGCTTCATAATAGCTGCACTACATGAACAGAGTGCTATTTTCACTTTTGAGTTTTTCAATCCATAACAATAGATATCAACTATATAAACAGTATAATTCCACCTATACTTCTATTCATATATTGATCATATATTTTAAAGAAAACAAGTTGAGATGTCTAATCATAGATATAATCTAATATCATTAGATAGTTTTGTTATAATTGATTGAAAAATTAAATACTGAAATTTTAGAGATGCAATGTATACATCTCATTTGCAATGAAAATAAAGTCTGTATAACACCTTCCGGACAGACTGGTCTCAGATTTACAATAGAACACTGTCTACAGCATTATATTTTTCATAGCATGTTTTTAATGCATGGTGGAGAATGTTACGGTTTATACAAACAACAAAGCGATCTATTGTGTTAAGCAGTGCGATAATACAGAATTCCAGAAACCAATATAACTTTTTTCAATCATCCAAGGTTTAATTTTAATGTTTGTCTGCTGTTGCCTCATTGTTTTATAATAGTAAAGAGATTAATGTTAGATGGTAAGAAAAATAAGCAACTAAAAGTCCCATTTTTAAGCAGCATTAAATGTACCCATAACATATTGCTGGGACATCAAGAAAATTCTGGAGTTTTTCAAATTGAAGTTTCTTCTTCTCATTTTGTTACAGCTGATATGGAGTGACACTGATCAAAGCAGATGTTTAAATATGGTCTTTTCTACTTGCATTGCATAATTCTAACATGAGCTGTGATCTAATTTTTTTTTTTTTTTTTTTGTAAGCAGTCATAAGAATGGAGAAACCAAAGGTTTATTTTCATCATATTATGCTCTTTTATTTTAAAAAAGGGAAAAAATGCTAGTCAGACTACTCATAAAATTATAATATTATATATGCCTGTAGGGGGTCATAAAATTATATACAGGGTGGTCATATGAACTGCTAGCGGTCTATATGTGCAAAAAATTGAAACGAAATTTAAGATATTGTTATCTGATACCATGTGCTTGAGATTGTGATGAATTAAAACAATACAGCTCTCATGGTTACATTTAAAGAGAACAAATTTTGAAATTAATTCATAAACTGATCAGCACATTGAAGACCCATAAATGGCAGTGAAATGATATACATGACAAAAATTAGCAATGTAAAACAGTAGCGAAGAAGAGCCTTGTAAAGGATCAATAATAACAGCTGAGAAGAGAGAAGGGGGAAAAAATTATTTATTGGAATTACAAGTTTTCAGCAAGCTCACCTTGGCAGATGATAGCGCATAGCATGTGAGAGATTGCTGATAACAATGACAAACATAACATCATAGAAAGAATCCATATAACTTCACATTTTACAGTATCTTTCAATTCTGACAAATCTTGCAGACTTGATGTGTATTCAATGAAGCAGATTCCAGGTAATCCCATAACCAGTAACCCTTCAAAGTGAGGTTGAGGGATTGCGGTTGGCATGAACAAGGTTATGGGAGATGACTATCTCCAAAGTGCTGTTGCAGCACTTGCCAAACACATGTGGCAACATGTCGAGGAACTCCATCTCTCATCTATATAATGTCATTAACAGCATTTTGCTGCTGCAGTTCTGGAATTACGTAATTCTGCAAAGCATAGTATATCAAGCTGCTGTAATAGAGCATGATTTCATACTTATGAAAGCAACTTCTTCAAAGAAATACGGATCGGGAATGAATGCGCTTGATACTGCACCACATAGTCACTTTAGCTTTGTGAAAGGTAATGTGTCACATCATAAGAATTTTTGTCAGCCCGGGGAATGCAGTTCTCAATTGTTAACGTTCCCAAGTAAAGAGAAATGAGCCTCATCCATCCACAATATTCACAGTGGCTACCTACTATCTTCATCCTATATTCATGGAACTATGATGAAATCTATTAATATACTATGAACTGTTGCCACCAAAGTGGAAATTTAGAAACTGTTCCCAAATGGTAAATTTAAATGCAGAAATTGAAAGAAAGCTCCAGTATTGACTAACTGCCAAAGTGTCTTCCCTCATGACATGCTTAGCCCCACATTTCGATGAATGTTAGACAAATATTTATTGAGTATGGTTGGTAGGTTTTGTGTCATTCCCCGTATCTGCTCTGGAGCCTGTCTCCTTGGATTTTCATCTTTTCAGATCATTTCATAACTATTTGAAAGAGCTAAACTTTACTTCTTTGGAGGCTATCAAACAGCACCTCGATAACATCTTTATGAGTGCACCTGACCTTTTAGAAA